CAAAATGGCCAGGCTACTTGAGACAGTAATCCATACAATTTTGTATAAAGAACATGGTATCAGGTAGGGCTTAAGGGGCCCATCTAATACAACTGTAAATCCTCAAATTCCAATGGCATTATAATTAGCATTAGAACAAATTCACATAAGGAATTATCAATTACATAAAGTAATTAATGCATCACATTATTTAACATCTACTTATTCCTGTCTTTCTAAGAGTATACCTAATAGTAAATAATTTGCCCTGTGTTTTCAAGATGTCAAATATCATTTTTCTTTATTTGAATGACTTGATCTAAAAGAATTCCTTGGGAAAGTATTAGGAGTGTCAGGTTTTATAACAAACCATGTGGGTGGAAGGTTTTGTTGGATTGGATGGCTTTTTTTTTTTTTTTTTTTTCTGACAGCAAACAAGTCTATCTGAAAGCATACTAAGCTCCAGCAGGTGCCCAGAGCTAATTTGGTTTGGAACTATTTTTAAAAAGCACTAGCTAAGTTTTATAACAAGTCATACCAAATGGCTATATTGTTTTTCGCTCTTTCTGCAATCCAATCTAGTTTTCACAACGTGACTCCAAACATAAGGCCACAAATTGTCCATGTCAGTAAGCAGATCTGAAGCACCCAGATTCTTAAGCCTTCTCCTAGATCCCTAGAAACAAAACATTTAGAGGTTTGCATTTGGATTTCCACTTAACACATTCCTTTCTGAGTTCTCTGCATTTCCTGTTAATAATTTTCATTTAAATCTAGAGTCTTGGCTGTAGCCAGCAAGGAAGACATGAGATGCTTCCCCGCAGCCAGATGCGGCAGGATTTGTGGGGCACAAGCCGGTGGCATGTGCTTTGGACGCGGGCTATCAGGATGGGTATTTACTGTCCCTATGGACTCTAACGGCTGTCCTGTCAATTGACATTCTTTTCCTAATGCTCTCGGATTAAACACCCACTTAGGTGTGGCGTCTGAAGAACACTCAGCTTTGACTCTCTCTACTATCTGCATTTATTCTAGCCTCTCCTCTCTCAAATGATGTAAAGATAAGATTGTTTTGGTTCATTCTGGTGTTTTATCTTTGTATATCCAAGCAGAGGAATTACAAATGCGCTATGTGGAACCAAAATATACATTTGCTCTACTCCTGCTGAGACAGCAGGTGTCATGTAGAGAACAAGAGACCTGGAGTCAGCCTGACCTGATTGAAATTCCACAAGGCCACCCAGCAGTGTGTCATCTGGGAAAGTTAATCAACCCATCTGAGGAAAGTGGGGATAATAATACCCACTCACAGAATGACGCTATGAAGATTAAATATGACTTTATATATACATCATGAAATCAAGCTCATAATTAATGCTCAATAAATTTTAGATTCCTCCCAACTACCTTTAAAAAAGAAAACAACCTAAGCCTGCATCATGTTCATGGTACTAGAAGGGCCACCCAAGCCATGACACACCAAACACTCTCAAGACTGACACAGACTATTGTTCTGTTTTGTTTGCAGCACTGGGGCTTAAGTCCAGGGTCTTCACACTGAACAGCATCACTAAAAAACTTTTTTCTTTTCAAATTTTGAGACAGTCTCACCAAGTCACTAGTTTCCAAACTGAGCTCGAACTTATAATCCGCCTGCTGGGATTCCAAGTGTGTGCCACCACATCTGGTTGTGGCAGTTATTATCAGTCCCCTTTTTCAGATAAGGGAGCTGAGGTTCAAGTAGTTGGGGTCATTTTCCAAAACCTCGCAGAAGTAGAGAGAGGGATCATCTAATCCCAACAGCATTCTTCCCCCAATTTTACCATTTGCCACTGACTTTTAAATTCAGTGATAATTTGAATTATATAAGTGAAAACCTAAACTAAGTAGTCTCCATTCTTGGCAGACTTGGTAAATAGAGTAATGAACGTGTAACAGAGAATTGTAACAGCGAGAGCCATGCCCAGCCTGATCCTGCGTCTGTCCCCAGCAGTGCAGCCAAGATCCACACTATACGAGGACAGAGTTGCCTTCCATGCTGCTGACTTCAAGTGGCTGGGGCATTAGGGCCAGAGTGGGCCACGAAGGGCAAGTGGTGGCCTAAAGCCAAGGTCCAGATGTGATGAGTTCAATGTTGACATTTTGAGGTTGCAGGGACAATGGGAGCGCTGGGCCATGCACTTGCCCTCTCTGCCCCCATTCATAGACAGAGTTTTGCACACAGAGGTCTCAGCTGCCTCAGGAAGCACGGAAAGGATGTGTCAGCTGGGTGGCTGTCAGACCTGAACCCCAGACGTAACTTCATTCTTATCTGGGTGGCCTCAAAAAAGCTTTGTCCTGGTAGAAATATTTTTTTAAAAATTACACTTGGAGATTTTTGTTGGTTTCATCTGACTTCATTTTACTAACTCCCATAATAACACTATACTGTAGATACAACTAGCATTGATTTATAAAAAATTTTGAGATTCAGACAGATTAGGTAGGAAGAGGTGGCACCTGAAGGGGAGCCCAGGCTAAGTGCTCACCCTGAATCCTGTGTACACCTCACAGCATCCATGCCAGGGGACCCAGTCAGTCACTCTCCCTCCTGATCTCCTGCTGTGAAACACAAGGGAATCCTGCACACAGTCACTGAAAGGGTGGCACTACAAAAGCATAATGAGGAGCCATGCATGCATCCCAGTTTTCTGCCCATGTCTGCCCATTCTCCGGTTTGTGAATGAAACTATGCGGAAATTCAGTCGAAATAACCAATTCACTTTTGTCCTGTCAAGTGGGTTTGTCATGTTGCTACAAGCAGAAGCAGCAACTACTGATCCGGGTCAAAGCACCCCAAACAATCCAGAGAAGATTCTTATCAGGGAGGGTCTCATAACACAGCCCAAAAGAACAAACGTAAGGCCACAAAATTCATCTTTGCTTGCAAAGCACTTCCTGCTGATCTTTGCTGCCAATCTATGAAAACCCGTAAATGTAATTTACAGTGTTAACGAGAGGAAGTCAGTTGGTCAGCTCAGTTAAAAGTCAGAATCATCATGCCTGAAAACTAAAATGCTATATGAAATGGGATGTGAAAACTGAAATGATAGGAGACCTAAGAAAGCAAAAAGAAAGATGGAGAGACAGAAAAATTTACTCAAAAACGCCAAGACAAACACAGACCTGGCATGGTTGGGTTACTCGGTCTGTATAACTCAGTCAACAAAAACCGTCAACTCAACTATGATGCTCTTTCCTTAAGATATTTTTGCTTAGTTCATATTATTATTGTTCATAACAGATTAATAAGTTAAGTAGACCAGGTTCTTCTCTGTCAAAATATTCTTGATAGTTTAGTTAACAAGAGCCTGGTTCTCCACAATTGGGCTGCTAGTCACTGAGATGCTTGTTGATAATGCCTCTTACTTCAGGACGGCAAGGCAGCCTTTCATAACCAGACTGTCCTGTTGTCTATTCATGCCTCTCTTCCAGATTCTGGGCTAAATTCAAGATCACAGAGGGGAAAAATCTTTGATCATGAAGTCAAAGACATCTACACATGGGAAGGGGAGAAGTACACAGGAACTTTGGAGCCTTTGTTTGGTCCTAGGAAAATATGTCTGTCTGTAATCTTAACTGAAGGGGTTATCAATCTTTATACTCCCTCCCATGAAATGGGAAACCTGGTAGATCATACCATTGGCCAGTATTTGCTGATAGGAAAATTTTAAATTCACCCTTGACATCTGAAGCATCAGTAATTTTAACCTATAAAATACACTAGTGACACTTAAATGAACAGAAAAGGATCGTATCAAACTTATGAAAGTACAGAACACAGGAACCAAACACAAAGAAGAGATTTGCAGAGGGCCTTAGATGTGCGTGCAGATAAGGCCTGGGGTTCTTGGGCAAGCTGGGTGGTGACCCACTGCAAAGCTCCTCTTGTGATGCAGATCAGGCCTCCGACTAATGGTCCCCTGGGGTCAGTTAAGTTTCAGACCCTGATCTCCTCTTTCTGAGGAAGAGAAAAACTCTTCCCTAAGCAGAAAGAAGGATATAACATAGAAAAGGCTATGTAAATCCCCTGGTTGTTTACCTCCCTGATGTAAATTTCCTTTAGGGATGTAATGTTCTTTCACAAACTTTCAGAGCCAGTCTTGTATCTGTAAGAGGCCTTTGGTTTCTCTGAATAATTCATTCAAAACATGCCAAAGGCATATATTTGGGATGGGATGTTTTATTCTGACACGCACTCCTAAACCTCAGTATGCATTGTCAGAAACAGAAAAGCCTTAGACCTTGAGATGCCACAGAGAAGTGTAAAGCAAATGGGAGAGACTGGAAAACGGTTTGGGAACAGCAGGAAAAAAACAGTAAACCATCATCATCTTTGCTTTCTCCCTCTTTCTCCTTGTGGGAGGTGGCAGCAAGTGTACAGGCACGTGTGCTCAGGAGAGCTTGGAATGGTGTTTCTCAGCCAAGTTTGCTACTTCCAGGGTACCTTTAAAGTATTTGCAGGGGTTGCTTCATCGTGGGCAGTCCTGAAGGATGGCTCGTGGGTCAGATGCCAAATGTCTCTGAAATGAGCATGCAAGGGCCAGACAGCAAACAATTATCCCCGTTTTGTAGTTTGTCAAATGTCCTGCCCAACATCCATGGAGATTAAACCCTGTTTGTAGTTATCTAAACTTAAATATCCATCAAATATCTCCACCTGGGTAATTTTTGCACTATTTTAATGTTTGTTACATTTTTCAGGCTTGCCAACACAGGGCAAACTGAGGGAGCACTGGGCCTGGGATGTAGCTCAGTGGTAGAGCACTTGCCTAGATCCTGAGTTCAATTCCTAACACAAAAGGTGGGGAAAATGGAGGGAAAACTTGGTACTACTTTGTTTCAAACTTTACCAAGAGTTCTTCGCCGGTTTCAATTATCACATTACCAACATCAAACCACTCAATGATGGCCATGAGTAGATCAGTTCTATATGTGCAGTATAGGGATAAAAGGACGCTTTAATAAACTCATACTCAGAGTACACTGGAGAAAGACACAGAAATTTATTGTCATGCCAGGAAAAATCACAACACAGGAGTCAAACAAAGGTGAGACTCAAAGGAAAGATTAGATCATTGAGCTTAAATACCCTCTTCAATAAGGAACAGGAAGGGCCATTATTAAGGGATAGTGATGCGATGACACATACCTGTAATCCCAGCACTCAGGGGGCCAAGGCAGGAGGATCACCATGAGTTCGAGGCCAGCCTGGACTGTTCAAGCCAGCTTGAACTACATAATGATATCTTGCTTCCAAAAAAAAAGCAAGGGAAAGCGGGGAATAGTGAATGACTTTCTGGGGAATTCACTAAACTTTGAGGACATAAAACAAAGCCAGGGACAGAGTCTGGAAAGCCTGCAGAACAGTCAAAGGTAAAAAAAAGTAATTTGCTTTGGAATGCTAAGTGGAACCAAAATGGAGGACAATGGTCTATAATGCAGCTCAGTCTGCATGTGTTTCCAGATGTACCCACAGGTTTCAGTCTTTCTCCGATGAGTTTAGCCTCTTCTGATTAGAGAAATTTCAGTGGTGTTCCTCTTTGGAAGATCCAAATAGGCAGATAAAAGAACTCCATAGGAAGCTTCTCCCTGTACTAGGGGAGGAAAAAGTCAGAGAAGGTCAGAAAAATCTGGACTCTAAAGTGGTTCTAAGGCCTTTCAGCAGGTCACTTACTGTCTCTGGGGTAGTGTGTTCCGAGCCTCCACAGAGGCTACCCCACCACCGTGATTTTATCATGCGCATAGCTGACTTCCAGAGTGTGCCAGAAGTACCAAGACATCACCATACTGAAATCACCATAAATTTCTTGCCTTTCATTTCTCCTTACATTACAGTTGAAGTTTATGTGCAGATAGGCTACACCATACGTTTAAAATACATTGCATGATAATAAAGCAAGAAGTAAAGATTTTGATTGTAAAAATAGTTTTGATTTTCTAATACCTTCTACATTTATTATTTGGATTGAAGATAATCCAAACAGTAGGAAATTATGAGAAGGTGCTAAGAAGTGTGTGCAAATTTGATGACAAATGATCTTTATATAATCATAAAGCCTGCCCTCACAAATCACAGAAAGGAAAATACCAACTGTGATGAACACCTTTTGAATGCTAGAGATTTAGAAAAAAAGTCTATATTTACATATATATGCATACAGATGTGAGGGCATCAGGCTGTGACATCTGTCACCCCATTGATGGGGTGATTGGCTGATGTGGCTGCTAGTGAAGTGTGACTTTCCTGCCTTACCACTTAATATGTCCCTCCTGAAGCTGCACGCTCTAAAGAAGAGGAGGACCACCCTGAATAGAGGGGGGCTGTTACTGCTATCAGGGGTGTAGGAGTGGCTGCGCTACCCTGTTAGAAGCTCCCAACAAGCTCTTGAGGTCCATATACATGCATATATTTAGAAACAGAGAAGCAAAATAAAAACAGAATTAAAGATTGAAAAATTTGATGCAGCAAGTTTTAAATCATCCAACAATGTCAGGTGTAGGTCTTTTGAGGGTTCACATAAAAATAATGCACAAGTCTCCTCCCTTGTCTTTAGTTTTGCTTTCTGGCAATTTCAGTTACCTACAGCCAATAATGGTACAAAAATACTAAGTGGAAAAACTCCAGGAATAATCAATTCATAATTTAATTTACATGCCACTCTGAGAAGCATGATGAAATCTCATGCCACTCTGCTCCATCGCACCCGGGATGTGAATTCTCCCTTTAGCCTGCATACTCACACTAAATTAAGGAACTCCCACCTCTTAGTCTCTTAGTAGCTACCTTGGCTATCAAATAGACTACCACTGTAGTATTGTAGGGCTGAGGTTCAAGTCACCCTTATTTTCCTTAATATTGGCCCTCAAAAGGCAAGTGATTAAAAAATGCCCAAGGGAACCCATACAGTGCTCCCTTTAAAGTAAAGGTTTATCACAGGTATGTATATATAGGAGGAAACACAGGTTATATAGGGATTTAGAAGGTTTCATACATGTACTGAGGATCCTAGAAATCCTGAGGATCTCCATGGATAAGGAGAAACTATTGTACTGTTAATTTTAATTTCAAGGAGCTATCTAAGAAGATTTTAATAATGGAAGTTGATATTGTGAAGAAAGAAAACAGTACAAGTTGAATTAAAGTTATTTTTTAAAACAAACGTGAGTGTAGGTATATATTAGTATGCTTATTTTTATCTTGGTTTGCAAAACTTTCATGAATCCAATGAGAGAAGAGAATCTGATAGAATTTTCTATAGTTAAAAAAAGCCAACTAGCTCTCTCTACTCCTATTTCAACCCAGCGTTATAGATTCTTCCCAAAATCTTCCAAGAAGCCACACAACTGAGCATGCAGTATCCTCATCATTCTGTTCTTCCGAGTGCAACATGTAAATGATTAACCTAGCAAAGAAGTATTTAGAAAGATAGGCAGGCAACAGACCTCACCTTTTGTGAGAACCCTAAAATTTGCCATAGTCTAAAAAGATGGCCATTGGTGGACCTTCTCCTTTCCAAGAACAGAGACCATCGGCAGCCCAGACAGCTGCTGAGGGTAGAGTCCTGAAGCAGCCAAGCAAGCAGGAAAGGGCTTCTCCTTCCCAGCAGTTGTCTTTTTCCTGGCAAACAAGTCAGGTGCCAGAAACTTTACCCACACTGGCAGGGACAGAGATTAGAGGAAGCAGGAGAGGGAGGGGCATCAATGAAGAAAATAAGGTCGGAGGAAAAAGTGAAAGACGGTGTCCTAGTGGTGACAATTTGAAACAATCTCAGAAAATTACATGTTTTCCAAGCACTCACAGCCTATCAAGTTTCAGGCAAGGTGCAAGCCTTCACGCGGTGCAGTTCCTCGGCATGGTGGCTCTCACCCAGAAAACAGAAAAGAGATCACTCACTTAGGAGTTACAAAATTATGCATGCTCCTGTGTTGAATGCTGGGTGTAATTCCTTTGTATTAAACAGAAACCTGTCCTTTCTTGAGCTACTACCAAACACCGGGCACTCCTCAACCTGTGTTCCTGCCAGCATTTAATGTCCTTTTGTGTTTCCATGACACCTGGCTTTGTCTGTATCTCTGTCACATCTTCTTCTCTCCTTCTCCTGAGCAATGTATACACCTTTTACAAATTCTTTCATTAGCCCTTATTTTATTCTGTAGCAAACAGGAAAACACAAAGTCATTTGGGGTCATCTTTTCAAGGTTGAGAAGCCTGAGCCACCCACCTGCTCCTGCTCGTCAAAATGAAATCTGCCAAGTGCTGAGTTGCTTGAAAATGTCCCCTTAAGTCATTTAAAGATGCAGCTCTTCATTTATCTAGCAAAGCATAATCTTCTTTGAGAACTGAGAACACTCTCTGTGACAATCACAGACAAGACATTCTTTTTTTATATATAAAGCATTCTTCACTAGGAAATAAGGGCCCATCTGAAAATGTCATCAGCTTTCTTGTTCACAGTTATTTTCTTTACAAATAGACCATTTTAGTTCTTCAAGGGACCATGTGATCTTGCTGATTGTAAGGGGAATTTTAAAGCTAACTTGCACTTGTATTTACAGTCCCTTACTGTAGATCTCTAACAAGCTGCAGAGATCAACAAGATCAGTATCATAATTGTTTCAAATCCAAGAAAGAGGAATCAATCTCTACCTCACATCACAGACATAATCAAGAGATGTTGATTTGCCAGTGTCTCTCTGGGCATCTCCACCTAATCCACTTGCCTTAAAAATCTATACCCCTGCTGTCAAATAATTTAAAGCATAAGATTACCCTCCAATCCAAGCCTAAATAAATAGCATTCCAGACTACTCTCAATTTTTATTACATTCTTCAACATGAACGCCAAGGAATCTTTTTGGGAGCTTCATAACATTCTTCTGAGAAGAAGTACAAGTAACCAATAAATACAGGACAAGTCCCAAGAGACGGACAGAAAGGAGGGTGGAGAGGGGAAGGGGATGAAAAGTATTGAGATATGTCTCCTCCTAAGAACCTCAGATCTATCATATTAAGGTCGGACTCTAATGACTTTGTTTCACTTGAACAACCCCTAAATCCCTTGTCTCCACATATATCACATACGTGAGTTATGACTTCAACTGATGAATATTTGAGAGAAGACCACAGCTCAGTCCCTAGCAGATGGTCTGCAGAGATGGAGGGGCAGGGAAGGGAGGAGAAGGGAATATAAAAAGAATTAAGATGTGTTCTGCATGTGTACCGGTGCTGTGTAATGAATGTGATCATTATGTACTGCAAACATGTGTTAACAAAAAGAAAAAAGAAAATAAATTTTAAAATAATAATAATAATGAGACCAAGCAGTTGGCCATCTGTTGTGTCACTGGTGGGAAGATGTTGCAGATCCTGTCTATGGTCATGGAAAAATGTTTTCAAGGGAAGCACTACCTTATCTAGTCTCCCTGTTTATAAGCCAACGGCTATTTTCTGGGAGTCCTTCTAGACTGTGATAACTGGTTACATTTTAGATTAATCCCTTATAAATCCTTACTGGGCCTGATATATACCTATGGAGCAATTATGTCACTGAAACATAGCTAATTCATATTAGCTATTCAAACATAGCTAATTCGGGGGTTTTTAATTCTAAAAAGCTTACCAATTAAACACAGCAGCTTTTATCCAGAACCGCTGCAAGCACCCATCCTCAGAGGGACCTTAAGACAGAACAAGATCTGAGAGAAATAAACACATAGTCTTACAGTTCTAGCATGGTTAGCTTGCATTCCTAAAGGATATTCATGGACATTTTTCCAAGTCCATACTCTCATCTAGTTTCCAAAGGAAATTCTGGTGTTTTTCAACTCTACTCAAAAAAGCCAGTGTGAGCTGGTAAACAGCAAAGCGCCAGAGCTGGCAGCATACTTCTGAAATTATTCATTTCCAGATCTTTTGCATCACAGACAGGAAACTGAAGCCCAGAGGCGTGCACTGACTGGCCTGAGACCCCACAGCTACTTATTGCAAAAGCTTGCCTGACAAACAAAAAATAAGTTTCAGAAGACCAAACGGTGAAAATTCAGGACTCTTCTGTAATTTAACCAGCGTGGGACAGTGTTTGATATACCTCGAGTGCTGTTTCAAGTCAGTTTGTCAGACATTAATGTGCATTGGAAGCATCTAGAAGTCTTGACAAAATGTAGCTTCTGATTCAGTAATTTGGGGGCCAGGCCTGAAACTGCATTTCTAACAAACCTGGGGTATTGTTGATACAAACCAACCAACTCATTTCTGTAAGAGCAAGAATGGTTGGCCTGTTTTTCCTTTCTGCCTGCCGGCCTGTCTGTCCATCTGTCCGTCTCCTCACCCCAGAATAGCCAACCACTACACCCACATCTCTCTCTGGTTCATTCAACAAACACTATGTGACACATACCATATGAGCTGCTGAAGAATGAAATAGAAGAAAGCCCCTCCCCCCATAAAGATTACATTCTAGTGCGGAGAGGCTACCAATTTGTCAGAGCATAAAAATATGTGTATTGCATAGTGTCTTGCTAGATGATGAGTGTTGCAGAAAAATAACAGCAAGGCAGAGGGTAGGGGAACTGAGGGGGAAGGAATTGATTACAA